TACACTGTTGTTCCGACTTGTATGAATTAGCTGCGTACCAAATCTCGTCTGTCTATGTAGCGGCTCTGCAGGATTCCAGTGGCTTAACCCATGAAACCCAGTATTGAAGGAGCTTGGGCTCAGGAACCCAGTGGTAAGCCTTTGAAGTGGGCTCCGCAACTCAGTGAGTTAAGCTTACCCAGTGGGTTAATCGTAGGTAGTGGGTTCCGAAACCCACACAAAGCCACTTAACCGGTATTCACGTACGAAATCAGTGAATTCGCGAACCAAAGTCTAGCATGGCGGTATTCACGAAACTAGTACCCAGATCCTGTAGGTTCGGGTGCAGGTGTTCGGTGTTTATGTATTTAATCTGATGAGCTTCTTTTAAAACTCTCGCATAGTTCAGTATCCTATAGCAACTTAAAGTGGCCCTCTAGGTGTTGGAAACAAGATTTGCGGCTAGACTTCAAGGGATCTCTGCTAATAATATAAAAACGATATCAATATATAATATATATACCAATATACAATACCAAAGCTAAGCTGTAGAAACATCAGCATGAGCAGTTCCCTCAAATCAAATTCAAATTAAAACAAGTATTGCTTATGGAATGTACATAGACTCTTCTTGCAGAAGAGCAATGTATTGTCATCATAGTGCGCCTGTCTTGACTTATTCGAGTTCTACTAAGAAAGGACTCCAAGCAAAGGTGCGATGGGGGGAGCCGGGCCCACCAAAAGTGAAGGTGGTCCCAGGTTCCACTGGCCGGGCAAAAGTGAAGGTGGTAGTGCCGGACCCTCACCTCCCAAAAACGTCGACCGGGGGGGGGGGAGCGTTAACGTCGACTGATTCTATGCTGATTCTATCCTTCCAAGTCGTTGCCGCCGGTGCGCGGAAAATAAGCAAAACAAATGCAAAAGAGACATTCAAAGCATATTTTTTGTGTATACAACGGCATAAAAATCTAAAATAAACGTGTTTAGAAAATAGAAATAAATAAATAAATAAATAGTGTGTTTTGAAGTGAAACTCAGCGAGAATTTATACATTTTATTGAGTTAATTTTCTTATGACGTACTGCGAAGAAAGTTGGTTGATCCAAGCAGTAACCGCCGAGATCCAGAATTTCGAGTGATAAAATAATGAAAAATCGTGAAAAATCATTCCACTGTTACGAATCTGCTGGCTGAAGACCTCCGCAGTTGCGACTTCATAGGTTTTGAAGGGTAAGTGTTGTTCTACCCGACAGTGAAAGAATCAGTTTGATTTGAGGAGTGGCCACCGAGAACGAGAATTTTGAAAAACCTTAAAAATCTTCTCAATTTTAGGTTGCTTAATGACAACTGACATTTAAACTCTTATAAATCCGGACTTTGAAGGTGTGTGATGTTGCGACTTCATAGGTTTTGTAGGGTGAGGTTTGCCCTATCAGAATATGTCTTAGTTGTACCGATCCATTGAAACATCGCCGAGATCCAGACTCTTGAAAAAGCAGGTAAAAAACCGTTTTTCAGCTCATAACTTCTTCAGAATTGCATAATTCATGTTGCGACTTCATAGGTTGGATTCTCCTCATCAAGAGCTTTCAAATGATATATAATATGTGGGGGATTCACGCCTCCCACGGGACATGCCCGGGGGTGGAGTACCTCGCTTCACTAATTCTCCACTGGCGGACTCCCGCCAATACATTGAAATGGGCCTGGTGGAGAATTAGTGAAGAGGAGTACTCCACCCCGGGTTAGAGCCACAAGAAACATTGAATCCCCCACATATTATATATCATTAGCTGGCTTACCCGGCTCCGCCGTATGTTCCGAATAGAAAATTCCATTTCTTAACCTATCCGAATCAAACCTGGCACACATACACCTCGGGCCCCGGCCGGTGTCACAGTCCACTTTTCGTTATCGATTGATGTCGATTTTATCGATTTTTTGCAAAATTTGAGCTAGGGGGCTGGGATTTGGCACAGGGGGGTAATCGAGCATGCTGATCACCCCCGTGGGGGTGATCAGCATGCTCGATTACCCCCCTGTGCCAACTCCCAGCCCCGTAGCTCAAACTTTGCAAAAAAATCGATAAAATCGATAAAAGCAATGCACATTTTTAAAAACTAATATTGTATTCGGAATCCCCATGCTCACTTACCCCCCTGTGCCAACTCCCAGCCCCCTAGCTCAAATTTTGCAAAAAATCGATAAAATCGATATCGATCGATGACGAAAAGTAGCCTATGACACCCGCCGGAGCCCGTAATGTATGTGTGCCAAGTTTGGTCCGGATCGGTTCAGAAATGGAATTTTCTATTCGGAACATACGTACAGACAGACAGACAGACAGACAGACATACAGACAGACAGACAGACATACATACAAACAGACATTCAGCTTTATATATAAGATTTGAAAACTCTTGATGAGGAGAATCCAACCTATGAAGTCGCGACATGAATTATGCAATTCTGAAGAAGTTATGAGCTGAAAACTGGTTTTTTACCTGCTTTTTCAAGAGTCTGGATCTCGGCGATGTTTCAATGGATCGGTACAGCTAAGACATATTCTGATAGGGCAAACCTCACCCTACAAAACCTATGAAGTCGCAACATCACACACCTTCAAAGTCCGGATTTATAAGAGTTTAAATGTCAGTTGTCATTAAGCAACCTAAAATTGAGAAGATTTTTAAGGTTTTTCAAAATTCTCGTTCTCGGTGGCCACTCCTCAAATCAAACTGATTCTTTCACTGTCTGGTATAACAACACTTACCCTTCAAAACCTATAAGTCGCAACTGCGGAGGTCTTCAGCCAGCAGATTTGTAACAGTGGAATGATTTTTCACGATTTTTCATTATTTGATCATTCGAAATTCTGGTTCTCGGCGGTTACTGCCTGGATCGACCTACTACATAGATATATGCTCTTAATGCTTTCTTTTACATTCCTTTTGCTTATTTTCCTTCTTTTGAGCTTTAGCAAAAAAATTTTCAGACGCAAAAGTGAAGGTGGTCACCCTGTACCAGCTCAAAAGTGAAGGTAGGCGGAGAATCGGCTCCGACTATCGCACCTCTGACTCCAAGTCAACCCGGTTTTGGATGAGGCATGTGAGTTATTACCGCGAACGCTTGAATCGCTGATTCTAAAGCTGTTGTTTTCAGCTGCGGAGCAATTCTAGGGGAGCTTTGGGTGGTGATTTGTTGGGGTTAAGACGACCATAACATGTCGGCCCTTGGTCACAAGCATTAAAGAAATGCAAACAAAAATGGCTTCTGACATAGTGGTAAGTGGCTTGCTTGATAAGCGGTGGGTCACGGAATTATCCGTCACATGCACTTTATGCAACTTCTGCAAAATGTAAATTTGACATTGTAAATGGCATTGGAGCACTGAACACTGAACTGCTAACAATTTGAGCTGATAAAAAATTTTTTTTCGAAAACTGCACCTCTACATGACTTTCCTTAACGATCAGACGACATTGTCTGACAGTATAGACGAATGGGTTTACTTAAGTATACCTACGGTAAGCTAATACAAAAAAAAGAACTTCACAGTGTCGCTGCCAGCGAAATGAACTCCGCTGCAGTCATCAACAGCCTCACAAACAGCTACTGATGATGGCAGAAAACATATCGGATTGGTGTTGAAAACGGAAAAGATGATCAGTCAAATATCCGGATGCGCGAACAAGCAAATTTTTTTAACGATTGCAGACTGTAAATACGCGAGTAGAAGTATTCTCAGTGGTAATACCAAATCTTTGTGATAAACAAGAGAATCTTTATCAAGTACAAAAACGTAGGAAAAGAGCTTTTCGATAACGGTAGCCATGTGCTAGTGGTGCATGATTGAAAGAAACTTTCTGCTAGCTATAACCTTACTTCTTGCCTTCTTCTTACCTTACCTTACTTTATTTTCTTCTTGTTAGAAACTAGCTTTTAGGGCCCATATTGTTAGCATTTCAAGCTCCATTGCTACAAATCCAGTTACAAACTCAAATACACGTTTTGCAGAAAGTGCAATAATGTTGCATGGGTTGGAATTCAAAGTGTGCCCCTTGTTTATCAAGTAACTCATTTACTACTACATTAGCATCCACCACTGATTTCTTGGTTATACTGCTCGTACACAAAGGCAGACGTGTTGAAGGGCGCCCTCAACCCCGGCGGAATACAGCTCTCATAGCTAGTGAGAGCTATGAGAGCTGTATTCCTCTGCTCTCATAGCTCCTCCCAGTGATCCGCAGCTAGAAAGGACAGATTTGGAATCGTTTCAAACTCGTTACGGTGACATATACCTCATTCTGATTGGCCGGGATAACTTGGCATCCTCTTCCGTAAGTTGTTAGGATGGCAAAGAAATTATAGTTATGTTTTATATGCAACTTTGAAGCTCTAAAATAATTCGGGCAGCAGTTAACTTGCTAAGATACTGTTGTAAACTAAGATACTGTTGTAAGAAACTAGGTGTAAATCTCATTCTTACATGTCAGATACTTAAAACTTCTCGTCACCAGTAACTGACCATTGTGCCCGTGCATGGCTAGCCTTATAAAAATCACTTTAGACTTTCAAAGTTTCGTTCTCGCCTCTAGTGAGTGCACAGACGAGTAACTGGGGGCTAAACGACTTCAGACTACACCCACGGTCATGCAAATAGTTGATTTGATTTGTTGTGTGTGCTTAAGAAATCATACATTTGACTACAACTCGCTTTTTAAGACGTGATTTTTCGAGAATCCGGTTAAAAAACCTGACTGTTCTTTCCTGCACCATTTACCATCAAAAAATAATTTTTAAAATAATCAAAATGACCATCCGATTCGACTTGATTTGTTCTTACAACGGCATCATACATACATGAATCAATCTGTAGCATTTCTATAAAGGGTTAAAAAAGACCGAACTTATTTTTTGGCTATTGTTTACGAGCGTGAAAGGCTTTTTAAACCCTGCAAATTTTGATTGTCGAAATTCATCAAAGAATGGCACGTTTTATGGAAGTTTCGAGATTCATTGTTTCAGTTACTCTATATTATTTATCCTAATTACTATATAGTTAATGTTTCGAATATATATCATACTACACGCATCATCTTCCTGAATGAACAATATGAGAATTACGGCGACTTTGCCCGAAGCGCCAAAGGCCACGTGAACTTGAGTTTGCAAATCATCCACATTCAATTGCTCTTCTTCTTCAGTTTCTTTGGCGCTTTCTTCGTCAAAGATTTCTGCAATGCCGCAGCGGACAACCATCCGATTACCGGACAGAGCTGAAAACAGATATGCTACCGTTTGTGTATTCGTGGGACCTCAAGATGAGAGAATAAATGAAATGGACTACTAACCCAGTAAAGAGCAATAAACCATTGTGTATCAATGCCATCGCAGCCAAACATCCGTGAAGATGCAACGACGGGGTTGAGCCCGGGTGCTCCAACGTAGACCAACGCTTAAGAATATCACATGATGAGATTAGAAATGTAGAGCGGAGGAAGACTCTACCGAATGATAGAAAAGCGGCTACGGTAGCAGCAACGGTAAAAGATTTTCCGCGAATAGGGAGATTCGGAAGAATTAGCCGCAAAAGGAAACATCCAATCATCTCAAACGCTATTACGAGTGGAAAAGAGATCTGTAAATGTCAAAGTCAATTCTAAGTGCAAATAGATACTCATAATGAAATAAAAATCAATCTAGCAAAATGCCCACAGAGGAGCGCTCGTTTAATGAAGTCAAGATCTCAGAAACTTGTCAATACTGGTAGAGCAAAAATGGTAAGCCAGCTGGCATTGCTTTTCGCTGATAAACTTTTAGGTTGTCCTGGAAGTTCTGTCATTAATTTTAAAAAAAGCTGTAACATTGCGCTACCTCAACGGAATTATTTCTTTGTAAATTTAGAAAGAATAAGTCTTTCAGTTTCGAATACAGCCTTGCCAAACTTCTACTATAAGCTGACTGCAAAGATAAAAATGAAAAAAGAAGGTCATGTAAGCTTTGATTACTTTTAGTTAGATTGCCAATAATTAGCAGAAAAATCTGAAAGCGTCAGTGCATGTTTTTGGCCTAATCTTTGCAACCCTGAAAAGTCCGTGCTGTTTGAATGCGTCTGTGAGAAGATTGGATAACTTTGGCGTCTTCTGTAGTGAAATCGAAATTCACAAATTCTTACGATGATTTCCAAACATCATAAGCTTCCGTAGTTGCAAAGAATACATTAGAAAACTCACTCATGTGCTGCAGATTTTATTTTTCTGCAGCGTTTCAGGTTTTTGGCTACCTAACATACATAAAATTATAAGAACTTATATGGTCTTTTCTCCATTATCATCTTTGCACTCACTTTGTAGTGGAACTGAGCAAAATCGTTCAAAAGGAAAGATCTATTCTTTCTATTGATGAAATAAGAAGAAAATAGGAGCAATCCGCCGGGGTAGCACGAATCAAAAATTCTCATGAGATGACAGAAGTTTCGGGATGTCCTCATACAATATAGAAGTATCGTATTTATGATATGATATATCCCTACCAAACAAACATTTTTTCTAGATGTGTTGCAGATGTTCTAAAAAGAACTTCTCAACCACAATATCTCATCAAAATTTTTTTGGAAAGTCGTGATCGAGTGGAAGCTATTGCAGAAGTTTTGATAAAGATAGAATGTTTGCACTTTCTAAAGTTACTCACCTTGTATTGAATAGCGCAATACGGATTTGAAAAGATTTCTTGATGGGCTTGCGAATATTGGACAGAATGGTACCACAGAGTTCGTGCAAATCGGTATGCGGTAAATCCACCGATAGCCTCGGCTGACAAGAGTGTTAGCAGGCGAGCAGGCCTGAAATGAATTGATTTATTCAAAGTTAACTATGTCGTATTTTGTAAAGTGTGAATGTGGCTCACCCAATTATTCCATAATAAAAAGCTTCTATTGGCCCCAAAGGATTGACGAATGCACCCCTGTTCATGAATGCGCCAGCTGTGAGCAAACTTGTGACTGTGAAAAAGAATGCAATCGGACCGTAGTATCGTACCATTACTCCTAAATAGTTAGTAGAGAGGAATAGTTAGATTTATATGTTCATTTACCATTTTCATAAACGCAGGTACACATTTGTGCCGTCGCGATTAATTCGATGGCAAAGACATAAAGAGAAGAAGACTTTTGCACTGTCTTTTCGAGCACCTGCAAGGATGTACATACAACCTTTGGTCATTTCCGGAAAAGGCTTCTGCCTCCATCACACAGCGAATTGTCTGTTTCTTGACTGTATTATTTGTAACGGTTTTTGTTGACTGTGACATTGGCAACATTTAGGTGCAGATTGTAGTGCTTTGCTTAATCTTAGCTTGTATCGTTAGCATAAAACCTTTCATAACTTTTGAAAGCTGTCGAAAGCATCAACATGGAAGTTCAGAGGGCACTCTAATCTTCGAAATGCTGAATCTCACAAACACCATATCTAGCAGGAACCATTACAACCATGCTTTTTTTCATATCTTGCAGAACTGAAGTGTCAACATAACACTCGCTGTTCTATCACAATTTTGTGGAGCCGTCAAGTCAACGGTATAAAGTGACCACTTTCAACCTTGACATTAATGAAATTGTCAAAATGTCAAAATTCAGAGTGCGTGACATTTTTCTGGAATTGTAACTGCGCTTCAATAGGAGCACAATTTCCAAAGACCTATATGCCTAATCGCATCCATATTGATGCATAGTACGAAAAGCTTGAGCTTCAAGTACCTACAAGCAGTGGTGTACCCAGGATTTCGGCTCGGGGGGGAGGGGGGAGGGGGACAGAAAACTTTTTCCGATGAAGGTGCGTGGCGTCAACCACCACAAGGCACTAAGCACAGTACACATGGTAATCATTCGACGGGAAGCAAAGAGATATGCTGCTTGTTTTTTCCTTATTTCTTCATAACTTGATTACTGGGGTATTGTTCATATCCCTATAAAAATCAAATCCATTCGAAATTCTCCACCAGACAGTTCTAGATTTGTCTAATCTAGGATCTGAACGGGCAGTATTGAGCAAAACTGCCTAGGGTTACGCTTGCTCGACAGAGCACAGTTTTGAAAAATAGTAATAGGCACTAATCGCCGATTTAAGTTGGTAAGATACATGCAATTGTTAATATTATTCGATTCCAAAAATTGTGATCCGAATATTCTGAGCCGAAAACATGGCCGCTGATGCCGTGGGGGGGGGGGGGGGTGAGGGGTGAGTGAAGGACTACATGCAACCAAAAGCAGGCGCCCTGCACATGCCCTCCACTCCTTGCACATGCAGGAGGTGTGTCTTTGCAAGAACTCCGCGTGATCTTCCAACATTCAGCGACATAGTCCTCAACCCCCGCGTGGAAATGGAGGGGGAGAAGGGTTATTAGAGACCCTCCGTCGAGCAGTAGCCGTAGGTGATTTTGCACGTACTTCCCTGTTCAGAGTCTAGGTAGCACAAGTGCAAAAATGGTTTTCTTATACTTCATACTTCTCAACATATTTTTTAATTATTCAAAGACGTGATTCAAGTGATTAACTGGTCATATGCAAGAATTTAATGTTCAAGGAATTGTAAAGAGGATTCAAATTTTATCAGAAAGTGGACCATTAGAAAAATCGCTGGAAAGACGATAGATGTGGAAAAACTTGTAATGCAGGGAAATAAGCGTGGATTTATAACTCACCTTTCGTGTGATCTCAGCTATAGAAAATACTGTGACATAATAAATAACAGCGGATATTGCAGGATGGTAGTAGGACAGGTCGCCTGAGATCATTCTGCAAAAAAAACCTTAGGCACTACATAGAAAAACACGGATTCATGAAGAAACTACATCCTCAAAGATCATTCTGGCATCACAAAAAATGCTGACAGAGCTCTGTTTCAATAGCAAAGAAAAAATGTTTGAGCTACATACGCGAGAGCAAAGTCCAGCTTCAAAAATAATCATTGATCTCACTAAGCTGCGACACAAAGCAAACTCTTCATTCTTAGAGCACTTATATAGTTCTGTAGTTGATGTCGTCTTTGCTATACTTCACTCAACTCAACACCAGTAAAAAAAGTCATTTCGCTTCAACTGCATCGCTGCAGACACTCTAGCTTGAGGAGAAGATTTTGCATCGTAAACCAAAAATTTTGGAGACTGCTATCTCAAAAAATGCGAGCCTGAAGGCATTTAACTAGGAGCAGATTATTTTGCAAGTGAAAACACAAAGCTGACAAATTTGGCATATCTTTGTTGATTTCATTTACTCTATGTGATTCCACTGATACACATAATACATATAGGATTACGATAAATCTTACACATCCAAAGATTTTGGTAAATCAGCGACATTTTGGCGATTTGAGTCAAATACGTTACGTTGTTCAGAAGCCCTTCGTTACAATAAGAAAATCAACGGGGTCAAAAACCACATCGAGATATAAATACATGTTCAGTAACTCATATATAAAGGCACATCGATCGAAGATTTTTGGAGACCAGATGAAAATGAAGTGGAGATATTATTATCCTCGGGTAATTTGATGCATAGATGACGCTTTGTTAATGTTTCGTCAACACCAGATCTGGATAGGTAGTGGTGAGAAATAAATGGAGATGCGAACATTTCAGCGGAAAACTGAAGAAGGACCGAATTAGCGAGTTTTTAGCGAACGCATAGCCTTGATTGGCGCAATGAGAATGCAGTTATGCCAGGTGCTTAGGATTAGAATAAAAAGCATTGTCGGTCGATGAAGCGCCCAGCCTCAACGAATGTAGAAAATAAGTTACGGAGAAGTGAGGAACTCGGACAGAAAAACATGCACTGGAAACCTGCATGATTTCCATAGAAGTCTTTACCAGGGCTCAGCACAGGGTTGATACGATAAGACTAAGTATTTTCGGGCAAAAGCAAAGGAGTGTGCAAGGTCACTGAATTATCAACAGAGAAACTGTGGAAACTCCTCGTCCAAGTCAAAGAAGGTTCTGCCGCCTACACTCCCTCGGTCCTTCGAAGCAAAACTTTAAAAAGCCATTTTCACGTTAATTCATGCGTATATACAAGCGGTTCTTTTCCAAATCTAAAACATTTGAATATTGAATCTGAAACAGAAGCTTGCCTAGGTTCTGTTTTTCTCTTCATTCTTATTCATCTTTTTTCGTTTTGAGCACCTTGGTATATGTACTTTTTTGCAAAATCAAAGGGCTTTTCGAATGTATCTGGCCATTTCGCGCCGGGCCTTGATTTTACTACTGTATTTGAGCGCTAAACGGACCATTTTAGTGGTGGACCAGACGAGGACCCTCCCCCCCCCCAAAGAAAAGGTTGCTAAGTTTTTGAAAGTATATCACATGGGTTATAAGTTGTGCAAATACTTGTTTCTACTTCATTCATTCAAACATTTTGTAGTCAACATCTGCAAAAAAAATTCTCCCGTCATTAGCTCCTGCATTTATTTATCAGCAACCTCAATAACTCGGCGTTCAGAGGAGCATAGCAGGTAACAGATATGGGTTCACCTTTAATTCTTTCCACATGGTGTGTTCTATCCCAATTCAACTGAATCACTCTCTTTTTGAGTTTTTTGCATTGGTGCTATCGCGTGTTTCTAGAAGAAGCTCATGATTTTCAATATTTTGCTTAGAATTCCGATTTTGTTCCGGAATAAAACCTCTGAAACGCAAAACAAAACACAACTTTACCTATATATAGAGTGTCCATAAAGTATGTATAACTGTTTACTCGTTGTGTCTCCCTTCGCAAAACTTTTGCCCACATCAGGTGCTGTCTTGTAGAGATTGCTTCAACTCAGACTTACAGTACAAAGCGCGGATCACCGTTCACCATTCATTACTGTAGGATCATTGTAAAATCACGGTAGGAACTTTGAAAAGGGTTTAGGGTACTGGGAGCTATATTCACTCGTCAGAACACGAACTAAACAACCTGAAACGCCTACACTAGACTAAAAGTTGCAGAATTCAAATATGAGTATCGCACAACATCGTAATAGTCTTGAAGTTATGCCAAATAACATACTGGTTTTTCACGCGCCTGGACTCCGTGATTACACGATTTGAGAAGCTTCGAAGATTTCTGAAGAGTTAAGTAGTGAAGTCAGCATGCGTGAAAATCCACACACAACTCTTCATAATTTGCATTCATAATTGAAATGCAGCTAAGTCATAATGGCGCAGATGGAAGACCGTAATACTACAGTAATGAATATCTGAGTGAAAGCCAGCTCTACAAAATAGTATCTAACGGTAAACAAAAGGCTTATTGGGAAGAAAGGTATCAACGATCAAAGGGTGTTTGCACACTTATGAAATACCCTATCAACAACAAAAAGACATGAAAGGTTTTTGAGCACATTTGAACTCTTGCACAAAACTTGTAGATTATACATTTTAAACGAGTCATTTTAGCGGAAACGTACACATGTTTAGCACAGTGGTATAGATAGCGAATTTGAAACAGAGGCATATCGTCCTTTCTGTGTTTGTCCTTTACTCTTCAAATACATCACGCATATTCAGTTTCGCGACATTACCAAAATTGAAAAAGTGGAGTGAGGAAGGACTGTGCTGCGTTAAATAGTTTAACATTGCTGTAAGTAAGCAAAACGACCTAAAATCATTGCCGAGAGGCTGGAAGTCGGAGTTTCACTTACAAAGTTAATGAATGCTCCAGGGAATTAGTGCCCATTCAAAATCACCGTCTTATGGCTGGAGAGATTGCATCGCTTCAAACAGTTTTTGTAGGCTCTCATGACCAACAAAACTTAAGGAATAATGACTGAACGTCACACAGTCTGACTAGCTTTTTTACTCCCCAGACACGTGTTCTTCAAACAGCGCGATGACACAAAATCAAAGGAACGTCATTTCTATGAGATCAAATTATGCACTACTTTGGGAAACAAAGGAGTATTAGCCAAATGGATCTAGTCATAAACACGTCTCCAGATTTTGTAGTACATGCACTTGGACAAATATAAAACCAAAAATATCAAAGTTTTATATTAAAGATCGTAAAACTCAACATCATCGCATGCTGAAGCAAATCGAACAAGCATTTATTTCGTTTTTTGAAGATTCTTAGAGGTACACACTTTACGCTACTTTGTTGAAGTTGTGTTTCTTTGGAAATGCTTCTGGACGTGTAGAGTAGGTCAGAGGGTTTGGAAGACAAATGCGTATACTAGAAAGACTTATCCGACAGATTTTCAATGCGAGCTTAAAAGACTTTGATGAATTCTGAAGAGATACCGATATCTGGGCAAGGATAGATGATAAAATGAAAGCATTGGCAATTACATTCCCTTGAATAGAAAAAAATCGTTCTGGAAAGAAAGTCTACTGATAGGAAAGGAAAGGAAGCGACTGCCTCAACATCGGAACTGATTTTTTGCTATTCTGAAGGAGAGAAATAAAAGAACTTTGGAAGAACTCGATATACATGTTGATGAAATCTGCAAAATTACAAAGATGCAAACAACTTACCTGCTTTATTGTAAAAAGTGCATTCACAAAACTAGAGATTGAAAACAATCCAAAGTAATTTATCTGAAGAAATTATTGATAAGGCTGTAAAGGATGCGAATATTATCGCAGTAGGGTAGTGATCAGGGTAAACAGGGCGGATTAGATTTGGACGAAAACTGATAGCTACACTTTACATGAAAACGAGAATTTGGTAAACGTCTTTTCGCAGCAAGGTTTCCCGTAGTATTCACAAAACAAAGCATAACGAAGTTCTAGCAACAACAGTTCTCTTTTCGAAGTTTTATGCTTCCGTCAACGTCATCGTTGCCACCTTCTTTTTTTGAAGAACCATGGCAGCTGTCACCTGCAAGTCAAGGCTGCACAGCATAAAACATGCGGCGAAAAATGTATGGGGCAGTGAACTCAGCTGATTTTTAGCTGGAAGGATCCTGAGACACCAGCTGGTCCCCCTCTATTTACACAATGCTCTGTCTTTAATTACCTATGACATTCGACAACAATTAAACTCCAAATAAAAGTATACAAAGACGAAACACCGAAAGTCATTTGAACTCCACTGCTTGTCTTTTATCGCAAGATAATTCATTTCGCTTGAACCTGCAGAAGTTAAAGGTGCCCCTTACGTCCTCAGTGCTAAAAAAATGCAAGGGAGCAGTCTACTATATGACCCTAATTCAGGATCTACCTCACTAGAAACTAAGGAAGTAAAGTCGATCCGGGACCTTATCAGAAGTTTTTCGTGCTGCAATAAACTGTACACTAGCGACTTTCACCGACTATAAATCACACTTTCTTATCTCAGCAGTAATTCAGAACTCTCTAGATCATAGTGTGGTTGGTTACATATCGTTTCTGAAAACTGAAATCTTGAAACACCACACAATTATCGGTCAGCATTACGGCGAGGTGGGACTATTGTGAATAAACTTCCAAGCAGTTTAATCATTTTTCGATTCTTCTGAACACCTATCATAATGGGTTATCATTAGTAATTGAAGTGCAAGGATACGGAATAATTTGAGTTGTTGAACTGTTGAAACAAAAGTGCTAGGATAACAAGTTTCAAACGATTCTTGATGTGCTATTGAGGTCAACCTACACATGCAATACTTTGAATTAATTCTATAAGAAAAAAATCAGAAATTATAGGGTACAATCATAGTGTTTGTATCAAATGCGGTGAATCACTTATCCAAATTCAATTCAACATAGAAAGGTAGGTGGTATGAGAAAATTCACTTCTGTTTCAAATAAAGTAGCTGCGCAGTTAGCGCAACTGG